AAAAAAAAAGTATATATATTTTTCCCAGATGAAATAAATTTTTTTTAAAAAGAATTTTTCATTAAACTAATCAATTAATATAATTACTTGGCAAGGAATCTTTATAAATTACAATGTAAACCTCACCTCTCTCAAATAAAACAAAAGAAAAGATTGTTTGCCTGTGAAATTATGAAATATATAAAAATATTTATTTCAAAAAAAGAAAAGCCTCATACCCATTTGATCAGCATTTTCTTCAGTTTTTATATAAAAATCTGTAGAGAGAGTGAGAGTAGATAAAAAATCATTGGCTAGATCTGATGCACGGTTTATTGGTTCAATTGCTTCAACTATAAAAGAGTATTAAAAAAATAGATTTGTTAACAGTAACATATATGAGACAGATCTATATATATTAACCTAACCTTTAATAGTTGGTTCATTATTAATTTCGTTGTTATTAATGTGGGAGTAAGAAAATTCATTATTCTGACTCCAATAACCATCTTGACGTTGAGAGCTGTTTTGTGAATCCATCAAAGAAAATATTTTTATTTACAATTTATCATGTGATCTACGTTAATCCTTACTTTTATATTTTGACGTAATACGTGTTTGTAACAATTTACATCTCGCAGAAGAAAGTGAAGTTAAATTTTGTCAACGAAAAGTTCATTGATCGAATCTTAAACTTAAAGTTTAATGTAGGTACGTACCCATCCCTTTACAATATTATTTATATTATTAAATTACTTATCAATAATGTTTGATTTAAATGCATCTGAATTTAATGGACTCCTCTCGTCTTGATCCTAGGTTTATACTATTATTCATAGCATTAAATAGCACATTACTACTATTTATTACTTATTTAGATGCAATAGATAGTATAATTGTAGCAAATAATATTATTTAAAACTCAGCTATATAATAATTAATAATTAATAACATTAGATAGTTAAAATATTTTTTTAATAAATGATGAAAATGCTGAATAGCATAAATATTGCAATTTGTTATTTATTATAAAAATATTATTTATGATTATTATTATAATAAATAAGCATTATTTGATAATAAAGAATTATTTGGACTTATTAATTCATTTACAATACAAAAA